ATAGAGATAGAGATAGAAATATAGATAAAGGGGTATACACGGAGAAAAAATACTACCCAAAATTTAAGTTCTTTTTACTTAATATTGACTTCAGCCTCTCACTTGCACTCGTTATTGTTGTCAAAAAAGGAACGAGAGATTCGACCCAACGATATAGTTCAGCCCAATAAGCTACTTTTGAGTAAATTGCATATTCTCAAATTTGCGTGAATTAAACTTAATTTTGGGTAGAATATACTTAAGAGTAGGTATTTTTTTTGCTGGTGTTAAATGGAAACTACTATATGCGATTTACTTAAATTTGGGTTATTGGGCTGAACCCCGGAATTGAGGGAAAAGTACTTAATTTTGGGTTGTTTTTCATCTCCGTGTACACGGTAAGAAAAAAGTACCCAACGTACCCAAAGCACCCAGTTCACTTTTACCTACTTTTGACTAGTTTGTCTCCTTTTCTCCTACACAGAAACTAAATCCATTGGCAAAAATACTATATTGATGGTTTAAATTAAATACTCCCACCAATAGATTTGTGCAGAAACGAAATTCATTTAATTTTACTATTTTTTCTATCAAAACTCTTATGCCTTTTGAGTAAGCATAGTAGTTTTGACATAATGGTAGTAAATTTGATAATATTTTTAGTCAACTATACTGAAATCATGGTAGATTTAACGGCATTAAGCATAGTTATACTGAAAATAAGTGTTTTCTGCAAAATAGTATTCCTAACTATGGTCTTTGCTTCAGTGTACTAATGTTGTCAAAAACGAAGGAGCAAAACCACCCAACAGGGGTAGTAAAGTGTGGGAACCCAACGTTGAGTATAATCATATTTACCTACTGTTGGGTACAACTAACTTACTTTTGGTTAAAAAGCCAGTGGAAAATTCCATACGAACTGCACACAAGTAAATGAAAATTACTTTGACCCGCTTTACCTAATTTTGGGTTCCTGCACTATAGTGCCGAGATGAGTGAAAAGAACTTAATTTTGGGTTCTTTTTTCTAACCGTGTAAGAAGCCAGTTGTCTCCTCTTCCTCTTAGCTATTAATGGATAAAAATAGCCATTTTTAAGATAAATGGCTTAAGGTGATTTCTTGTAGAGTCCACAAATGGCAACCACGTAGTCTTCGAATTTTCAATTACATACTGCTCGGAAATTATTGCCCCATTTCATCTGAAATTGCTTGAAGTCTTCATGTATGCTGCAGTACAGCAAACGTGAAGTAACAGTTTCATTGAAGCTGATATTTGTGCACTTAAAGTTTCGAAGTGGTTACGAGAATAAGGATCTCACAGCGAAACACCTTAAGTCATTAATGGGTATTTTATACTTAACGCTTGGGAAATCGAATAGGTTAAAGGCGTAGCACGATAACGAATCATAATTTGTGCTTAAGAAATGCATACCTCATGCCTATCGAATTCATAAATGTTTTATGAACTCAAAATGTCTTATGGATGTCTCAAGATTATTTTGTCTCAGTGTTCTCTAATGTCTGTATATGTTGATCATAAGTGCAAACACCAAGCTGAAACTAATATTTGAAAGCTTGATGTTTAATAAATATTATCAGTTAAAATTAGGCAAATCAAGCATAACTTTTCAAAAGGACGTAAGTCGCAAAAATAAACAAATCGATATTTTGCATCTAACCGAATATAAAATACATGCTTTTCCTACGAGTTAATGAAAAACAATGTTTGAAATTGTAATGCATTATGGAAAATATATTTAATGAACGCCCTATGTGACCTTCTTTCATTGTTTTTAAAATGGTGGTGATACACCCTTTTATTGTCAACATGACTTAACTGTTAAAATTGGATGATAACACAAAAACTGCAGATACGCTTACAGTGAAGCGTCGTATGTGAAAAAACAAAGCAACCACTATCAATCAGCAAATGCGTCAAGTTTGTATGTTTGTTTTTGTATTTCCGGGAGCAACATGTTTATTATTTCAAAAATATTCTAATAAAATTGCACTTTCATCTTGACTTTAATATTGAACTTCACATACCAATCTGACCAGCGCTTTCTTAATACGAAAAACACAAAACGTATAACATCTGACAGCAGATAATGCGGTGACCCTCTCATCTCCGCTTTTAACATCGATTATTTCACAACTCTGGGTAGTTATGTAAATAAACCAACCAACCGACATTTCCTCAATGCTTTTTGAGCTGCGGACGTATCTTCACTGCAAAAAAAAAACCGGTGTATCTGATTTGACGTATGTGAAAACCCTTCTGTCAAATAGACGAATCATGCAGGGTGTATGTAACAATCAAGGTGTGATGCCAACAAATCAATCAGGGTGTATGTGAGTAGTACACAAGTAAAAGGTGTATGATTTTGTTTTATCAAAAGTCTTGTCCGTGTTTGCAAAACTCGACATTTTTCACAATTCTCTTAAACGGTATCCCTTTATCCAGCTAATAGCTCAAACAGATTTTAAAAAATAGCATTAACTTTTAAATAGCATTTAATAATCTCATATGGACATTGCTATCCAATGTTTCTCATTTCCTATCCAATGTAACATACGTCCTTTTGAAAAGTTATGCTTGAAATGTACTCTTATACTTGTAAGCCATTCTAGCAGGTAATCATCTTCGTATTCGTTGATACAAAAAGTAAATCGGATAAACATCGAACTGGTCATAAATAGGCACTGTCCAACTTATAATATCGTTTGCTACCGCGGAGATCAAATTTTCAAAGGAAAAGCAATGTTCAAAAAGCGCTTTAGTCTTCATTAGGTTTGTTTTACACACAGATTTATTGGTTTAGAAAAAATCGTCCACAAATATCCTAAGTCAATGCTAACCTTCGTAATCAAGCTGTTCTGGGTCATTGCCCCAGTCAAAAAGGTCCAGCACAGTCACCGGGATGTTGTCCAAAATGTCCTGATCGACGAAGTCCGGAACCATTTTTTTTATCGGTATGCGCTACTTTTGCGAAATAGTTACCTAACTTCTAGTTTGTTTTTCTGACTTATTGTTCTCAACAAAGAAAATGCATAGAAAATGATTCACACCACATGAACAGACCACTCTTACGTATTATTTACGAACAGTGATTTATTTTAAATGCACATTCAACACGCTTCAAGGCGGACACAATGATTTGAACCACTTTTTCTTTCCATGAACAGGCTAGTCACAACGAACGAAATCATAAACTGATTGCAAGAAACCTCCAGTTAGGCGCATATTTTCCGCTTCTGTTTTATTTATTTTTTACTATATTAAGTCGCAATATTTGAAGCACAAACCGAAATGTAAGGAAACTGCAAGCTAATGCGGTGGCAACGCAAGAATCACTATACGCTAATTACGGACAAAATGTGTCGGATTGGGAAAGATCGTTTCGAATGGGCAGCTATTTTTAGTCCCACAATTCGCCGCCCGGTGTATAGACGAATACTGGTGCGTTGCGTCGCGCACTCACGCAGTCACTATCGTTCTTTTTCATTAATTTCGTTTCGGATCACTCTCGGGAGAGGGATGTTATTTTCTTTATCTCGAAACATGCTCGTCTTCGAAAATATGGTCACTCAAAGAGAAGAAACTTGAAAATGTAAAGAAGGGAAGTTTTGTGCGCATGACGATCCTTATTAAAAGGGGTTTTTCTTGGATGATATAATTTCGATTATTCGAAAACACTGACATCTGGCGATAGAAATACAATTATTTACCAATTAGATAGATAAAAAATAGTTAGTTGAGAAATCCCGGTAAAAGAGATCATATGATGTGTGATCACTCCAAATTACTACCATTGAACTGGTTTTACTCACATGGCCCTAAGTTCCCGGCAAGGTGACAGATAATCTTAGTTAAACTGATTATGTAAAATGAATTTTAAACATGCATTTTATTTACTGTACATCATTTCCGTACTCGTCCCATTCAGGACGCAATTTTGCTATTTTTTAATTTGACAGAACCACCAGCACAAAATAGTCGAGGTACACTGGCAATATACTGGAGTTGGTAAGTTGCCCCCAGGTTGCATGGTCCATACAAACCGAAACATGTTCTGGCCATATCTCCGGAACCAGCTGACCGATTCCAACAATATTCAAACGCGTTCTATGGGATTTATACCTTTCATTTGGTGGTTGTTGTGACAAATTCGGTTCAGTGTTTGCCAAAAACAAGACTTATTTCCTAAAACCCATCTTTTTTGATCTTGTTCCAGCCTTATCTCCGAAACAGAATAACCTATTCTATAAAAAAAAATCGTAGATAGGAAAATGATCTGACAATTTTTAAAAGATTTATAGATTTTTAGAAATTTATAGCCCAAAAAGTTCCGCAATATTGGATTTCCGCTAGATTACCATAAATCATGAAAATTTCATCATACGCTACGAGGTGGGAGGGGTTTAAAGTTGGTTAAACATATGTTACGTCAATTATGGATGGTCCCTAAATGTATGGCAAGTACAATCATACTCAATGCGCCGGGAAGTCGAGAAATTTTCCAACTTGAAAAAATCCTTGACCGGTGGGCACCGAACCCAGCTCTTGCTTTGTAGCTACACCTTTGCTGAGCTAAGGGAAGAGTATCTTTTATGGCAAAATTCCCCGTTTAAGCAGTTCAATTCACTGCCAGTAAATTTATTACAATCGTATGAGAATAGTTCCTCATAATCTCTGCTAGTTATCCAATATTTTGCCTAGTCATCATCATGCATTTGTTATTGATTTCAATCTTTATTTCTCTTGTATGTATGCATGCGCTGCTATTTTATCGAGCACAGCTGTATAAGACCTTTGAAGTCTCTTTGAATGTATCCTTACTCTTAACAAAATGTATTGAGTGAGTGAAAAAGGTTCTGCAATTGCGTTATTTTCTTCGACGTATTTATTAGGTATAGACTTATGAAAATGTCCATACAAGGGGAGGGAATTTATGAAGAGTAAGAATCTCACAACCTTCATTAAGGTGGTGGGGTGTGTAAACAAACATAGTAATACTCACTTGCCATCGTAGCCACGTCAACCATGCTCTTTTGCTCTCGTTTGCGGACTCCACCTTCGCCCGGTTTGGAGCTGGCCAAATGGCTGATTGGATTCAGTGATTTGTTCCGCTCGTACCTGCCCAACAATTGGTTACTACTGGTGCTGTTGCTGCTGCTACTGCTATAACCACCACCGCCAGCACTGGCCATTCCGTTCCTACCGATGTGACTCGGTGGAGTTTGAGTTTTCTTATCGCTATTCAATAATGTTGCAGCTTCACCCGCAGCAGATGGCCAATCGGCTCCCAGAACATCCTTAAGATCTACATCGTTTGACTCTGCTTCGGCTAGGGTTGCCGGTGGATCCACAATTATCACATTGCCTGCATCACTCGTCGCTTCATTGATATCAGCGTTGTCAATAACTATAATATCACGACCCTCGTAGTTAAGAAAAGTACCCGCCTTCGAAGACTTCTTGCGCGTTTTGGAATGTTTTAGTGTACTACTGTTGGAGCTGTTCTGCGAGCTTCTGCCAGAACGATAGCTGTCCTCCGTTTGACTGCTATCGATAAACCGCAGGTCCTCAGTCATTCGATCATGCGGGTGATTATTGATTATGCGGCTAGAGCTTCCTGTACTGCTACTGCTGTCCTGTTTCGACAGATTGGGACTCGATACTGACGCAGCCATTCTTTTTTGTTGCTTATTATCCATCAGGTTCCGCTCAACTAGCGGCGTCAAATCGGCCGAGTTACGATTGTTCCCCACAGGATCTGGAGTAAACGATCGTGTGTACCTGTCGTCTCGTGAGTCACTACCCGCTTTTGGAATTTCTGTTAAACGCTTGGCTTTCTGTCGTATTTTGGAATTCAAATCTTTAGCTCCGCATAATAGACCTTCTAGTATATTTTTCTTGGAATGTTTGTTAACAATGGAATGGTCCAAATCTTCAAAATCGATCCAATTTGCCGCAAGTATTAGTGCCAATTTAGGGGGTACATTCATATACGTTGACACATAGATGAGATCATCTTGTTGAGGGGATTCACCACTATCGAGGTTCTGTAACGATCAATGTTTGCATTATTATCGCTGGTGACACATACGATACATGGTTTTGTGCTGGGACTTCAAGGAAAGCTACAGATCTGGAACGATTAGCATGTAAACCCTTCAAAGTCTGCTACTTTCAAAATTTGTAATATGGCAACAAGATGAATGATTTTGATTTTTGAATAGATTGTTGTCACGATTAAATATTAGGTTATTATAGAACGATAATATGTATAGCCAATTGCAAAATTAAATTCTAATTCTGTACAAACACTATCTTTAAGCGAATTTAGAAACTCAAAACAATTAAAGTACTGTTCTAACCAATAGGCAAGCATACTAGATAGACTTAAGAATAAGAGCAGAAATAACCATCACATTACCAGTAACTCCAAGCCAAAGTAGTAACCTGGACCTATTTCGGAAACTGGTCCACGATATCTAATTATGCAATCATACGTCTCCATTGGTCGACAGAATGCTTTTCCGGAAACCTTCACTATTTGATCCTCACGCAAATGCTTGACTTTTATGAGCCGACCAGGTTGCTTCACGAATTTCAACCGTTCTTGGGGATCCAGTATGGCAATAACAAACGGCCACACATCATCCGGAACCGGTTGATACTGTGATGTTTGGCACTGCAGCACGATTGGGTTGCTCGTATCATCTGGATTGTAGAAGTCCTTGATGCGAACAACGGCCAGCCTTGACGAGGTTTGTTCGATGATCTGCAACATCATACCGACATCAACCTCAACGGTATTGTTGCCATTGCTTTCTTCGTAGAAAGCTCCTCCCGCGGGGAGCAATTTTGCTTTGAATTTTTCCGTGCTCACTGCAAAAACGGCCGTCATCTTGATAGCAATCGATTACCATGGAACATCAATTTATAAAAAGCGGCAGCCTAGTAGTTCTCGTACATTAGTTTGTTTTCTGCTGACTAATGACTAGTCTTCTTTTCCTCTCGTTTGGTTTCTTTCGTTTCCTGAACGTAAAAATCTGTTTGTATGCAAACAAAATCACTGCCTCTTTTGACAGCCAGAGTCGAATGTTGAAATACTGATGTAAATAAAAATAAAAAATAAGTGTTACGAACAACACACGCACACAACACAAACTGCGAGTTCACACAACGCATGCTAGTGTGGGTGTAATCGTGAAACAACCAGAGCTGCCAGATACACTTGTAATTTACCAAGTAGAAGAAACTTGGCTGAATATCCGGACGGATTTGAGATTTCAAGCTGAATAATGCATTAAGTCTCAAGTGACATTGATCGATTCTCTTCATCGACTTTCTCTTTCGTTAGTTACTTGGGTGCTGAACCGTTTCTTGTCGTGTTTGCTCGAAATTAACTGGGAATGTCTCAACATGGCCGTGAGGATGCAAAGAGAAAATCGACGAAGATGTCAATGTTATTTAGGACTTAATGCATTGGATGTGGGTGTTACTTTTTTTGTTAACAATAACTTCAATCACCGATTTCTTGCGAAAAAAGCTCAATCGCAAACTAACAACACAATCAGGTAGGGGAGTGATTCTTGAAGCAGTACTGGTAGTTTTTTTTTTTTTTTTTTTTTTGTGGAACCGAGCATTTATTCGCGATAAATTGGTGATTGACCCGCATAAATAAGTACCATTACTTGACCTTACCGAAAATGGTTAAAAATGGTTTATAATCCCTGCTAAACTTTAACTGAAATAGTTATGGAACTTTACATGAACGTTTGTGTGGTAAAATTTTAACCTTATGTATTATGGTTTTTTGGAAGTGGCTCTTACAAATAATGGGTTGTTAAGAACCATTACCATTCCAAATTCTTGTTTTCTCCATACATTTTTGGAAAAGGAATTATATTAGAATCTTTTTATTTATAATTTTATAACTTTAATGGTAATGGTTATGGTAGTCAGTAAGGTAAGGTCACGGATGGTTTTGTAGCATCGATCAAGTTTATGTGGAATATATCGCGAATTGGTTGCCTGTAAATTAATGATTACCAATTCACGATATAGTCCACGTAAAATAAACATACAAAACCACCCATGGACCTTACCGACGATAATACAAAACCATCCATGGACTTTACTGACAACCATAACCATTACCATTAAAGTTATCAAACCATAAATAAAAAGGTTCTAATATAGTTCTTCCGATAATGTTTGGAGAAAACAACTATTTTGAATGGAAATGATTCTTACCAACCTATTATCTGTAAGGTCCACTTCCAAAAAACCATAACACAAAAGGTTAAAACTTTATCACACAAACGTTCATGTTAAGTTCCATAACCATTTCAGTTAAAGTTTAGCAGGGATTATAAACAATATTTAACCATTTTCGGTAAGGTCAAGTTATGGTTCGCGTTTATGAAGGGAAGCAATCGTTTTCAAAAATACACTAAAATCACAAATCAGTCCATCCGGTCAATCAATTCTCGCACAATGAAAATGGCACAAAAGGTTTTGTAAACAAAAGTTGTAAGACCTTTTACACGTGAACCGAAGTACGCCCACACAAACCAAAAACATCGTCGGGTAGAGAAAATTCTCCCCTTTCCGACAGTGGTGTTGGTTTGCGTGGGTGTTCTTCAGTTCGCGTGGAAAGGGTACAAGATTTGTTTACAAAAACGAGTCCGAGTTACGACTTCCAACGTCAAAGTTTCTACTAGCGACATAGGAATTTCAATTGTTTTACTATACTTTGTATATAATATTATTAGAATTTATTAATGAATGAACCAACTGTGCTAGATAATGTTGAGTAGAAAACAAACGACATTACAATCTCGAAGAAACTTTCGTTTGCATGTAAATTGAATGTTAATCATCACAAAAACAACATTCAGTTACGCCAAGCCTTCCAGCAACCCTGGATGTTTTTTTTTTCTGTTTCGTTGCTCAGTTAGACGTACACGCACACCTTTAAGCGGAAATGGGAAATCGATTATTTATCAATGGTGAAGAAAAAACTTGATAGCGAAAAAATCCAGATAAAGTTGGCAAAATTTCATTTCCGCATTTTGAACCACGTTAGTCATGCTAACTATTTGATGTATGAGCACATAAGCAAAATTAAATTAAACAGATTCTTCTTTCACATTCACTAAAAATAGTAACTTCATCTCTAAAATAACAATATTGCTTCGTGTTCATCATATAGGTCAGCACTGAATACTTTCCAGAAATTAAATTCTAAAACAATAGAATACAAATTAACACGACGATAGATAGATTCTAAGAGAACGAAAAGAAACTTTCAGCTTCAACTACATTTTGATATGGAATTGAAAATAAATTACTGTCAAACAAGAGAAAAAGTATTTCATGCCAATTTTTACTAGAAAATAATGATTGTCCAGATCCATTGGTAACTGGCTACCTTACACCGAATGATTCTCCGTTTGATGGTAAATTGCGTCGCAATACTCAAGTTATTCAGGTATCGGGTTAGTTTTAGCTGTTTTCACACTGTTTTGCAATCACTTGCGATAAGATTTTCCGGACACCAATCACCCACCGAGGTGTACGAAAAGTATTGTTAGCAGCAGTGCCATCTGCGATCGAGAGAACAGAAAACGCGACACGGACAACCACTCCACGCGAATGAAAGTTTATGAATGGAAATCATTACCGAAAAGGACACGAATCCATTCGCACTTGCTTTGGTGTGTACGTATATAGTTGAATGTTTACGAATGTGATGGGAATGTGTGCGTGACCCTTTGACATTATGCTGCCGACCAAACGCAAAGGGCGTATTTTCGTCTAGTTCATCACATTTAGAATATGTTGCATTAGTTCATAGCAAACGATCCCTAATAAAAATAACCATAAAAGAGAGCTTAACGACATGTTCGGGGTATCATCCAAACCATTTGTGGGATAGTTTACCCATCCGGGATACAGTTCGTTTATGGTATTTGTTTATTAAGGTAACCTTCTGCGAGTTGAGTTACTAGTCATAAAACGTTACACGCAACGTTCGATAAAACCATAGAGGTAACTCTAAGACCACTGGGTCCTGAAGAAAATCATTATTATTTTTGGCTCACTCAGTACCAGAACAACAGTCCCAAGCAGTCCCAAGCTATTTCACTCACCCCTGCATGTTCTGCATGAATCCACACACCCCTGATGTTATCTGTCAAACTTTCATAGCGAATCAAAACAAACATAGTGTAGTAATAGAATTTCAACTAGAATAGGGTACGTTAATCGTTTGCTTGGGACCAATAGGCTACTAAAGTGGTGAGCCAATTTAAAATCGTTAGTTTCGTATTGATTGTTGGTATAACGGTACAACCAACAATCAATACGAAACTAACGATTTTAAATTGGCTCACCACTTTAGTAGCCTATTGGTCCCAAGCAAACGATTAACGTACCCTATTCTAGTTGAAATTCTATTACTACACTATGTTTGTTTTGATTCGCTATGAAAGTTTGACAGATAACATCAGGGGTGTGTGGATTCATGGAGAACATGCAGGGGTGAGTGAAATAGCTTGGGACTGCTTGGGACCGTTGTTCTGGTACTGAGTGAGCCAAAAATAATAATGATTTTCTTTGGGACCTACTAGTCTTAGAGTTACCTCTATGGTACAACCAACAATCAATACGAAACTAACGATTTTAAATTGGCTCACTACTTGACTAGCCTATTGGTCCCAAGCAAATCGATTAACGTACCCCATTCTAGTATAAATTCTAGTACTACACTATGTTTGTTTTGATTCGCTATGAAAGTTTGACAGATAAAATGAGGGGTTAGTGGATTTTCCTATGTTTCGAGGGGTGAATCGATTAGCTTGGGACCGAAGATAGTACCAACAATCAATACGAAACTAACGATTTTAAATTGGCTCACCACTTTAGTAGCCTATTGGTCCCAAGCAAACGATTAACGTACCCTATTCTAGTTGAAATTCTATTACTACACTATGTTTGTTTTGATTCGCTATGAAAGTTTGACAGATAACATCAGGGGTGTGTGGATTCATGCAAAACATGCAGGGGTGAGTGAAATAGCTTGGGACTGCTTGGGACCGTTGTTCTGGTACTGAGTGAGCCAAAAATAATAATGATTTTCTTCGGGACCCAGTGGTCTTAGAGTTACCTCTATGATAGTACCAGAGCTGAGCCAAAAAGTTGAGCTCGTTTCTTCGGGACCTTCTGGTCTTAGAGTTACCTCTATGATTGAACCCAGCCCTGCTGGGGTGAGAGGTAATCACGCTTACCACGACACCACCTGCGCCGCTATGTCAACTTTCATAGCGAATCAAAACAAACATTGTGTAGTACTAGAATTTATACTAGAATGGGGTACGTTAATCGATTTGCTTGGGACCAATACGCTAGTAAAGTAGTGAGCCAATTTAAAATCGTTAGTTTCCACCGGTTGGTATAACCATAGAGGTAACTCTAAGACTAGAAGGTCCCGAAATAACGTGCTCAACTTTTTGGCTCAGCTCTGGTACTCTCTTCGGTCCCAAGCTAATCGATTCACCCCTCGAAACATAGGAAAAACCAATAACCCCTCATTTTATCTGTCAAACTTTCATAGCGAATCAAAACAAACATTGCGTAGTACTAGAATTTCAACTAGAATGGGGTACGTTAATCGTTTGCTTGGGACCAATAGGCTAGTCAAGCAGTGAGCCAATTTAAAATCGTTAGTTTCGTATTGATTGTTGGTATAACCATAGAGGTAACTCTAAGACCACTGGGTCCCGAAGAAAATCATTATTATTTTTGGCTCACTCAGTACCAGAACAACGGTCCCAAGCAGTCCCAAGCTATTTCACTCACCCCTGCATGTTCTGCATGAATCCACACACCCCTGATGTTATCTGTCAAACTTTCATAGCGAATCAAAACAAACATAGTGTAGTAATAGAATTTCAACTAGAATAGGGTACGTTAATCGTTTGCTTGGGACCAATAGGCTACTAAAGTGGTGAGCCAATTTAAAATCGTTAGTTTCGTATTGATTGTTGGTACAACGGTGTATTTTATATGTCTGTACAAGGTCTAAGGGAAGCGCATACAAAACTAGAAATTTTTGGAATATTCCTGAAATTCTTGGAAATTTTTAAAGTTCATCGAAAATTCTTGGAAGTACCTGCAAAAAATTAATGGAACTGCTCTGAAGGTCCCTTGTCATCCTTCAAGTAATCTGAATATCCGTAAAAATAATTAAATTGCCCAAAAAACTCAAAACTTCTGTGAACTTTCCTGAGGATCTCAGAACTGCAGTTTTCGGAAATTCTCTGAGCTGAACTAAACTGAGATTCATTGACCATCTCTGATGTTTTCGAAGCCATCTGGAAGTCTGCGCAATTCTTATGAAGTTCTTCTCCTGAAGAAGTTCCCTGAACATTTCTGAATTTCTGTAAAATTCCCAAAATATGTTCGAAGCTTTTTAATTTTTCATGAGTTGTCTTCACTTTCCTGAAATTCCCAGAACTCTCAAAGTTTTTCGAAATTTTCATGGAATTCATGGAGCAGTCCATAATTAGACGAAACTGGACCTTGCACATCTTCAAACTTCCCCTAAATACTGTCTGAAATTATTGGGAGTGCCCTTAAGATCTTGCAGTATGTCAGATGATATTTTTTTTTTTTTTTTATTTCTTTATTAAGGAGACTTTCAGCCTTTGGCTGGTTCGTCTCCGCCAGTCAGATGATATCTGGACCTCGGTTGTCTGACATCTTGGAATTTCTATAAAGTATTCATTTGTTTTTCTCAAGTTCTGTGAACTTCAGTGAAGTGTTCATGACTTCCCTGAATTTATTAGAACTACTCAAAAGTTCCAGCCATTTCCTTGAAGCTGATTGAATCGCTTTGAAGTTATCGAAGCTTCCATGAAGTGACCGAAGTTATATAGAAGTTCTCAGATCTTACCTTAGCATGCCGCAGTCTGTTCATGAATCTTCCCCGAAATCCTTGATAGATGCTTTCATTCCTCGGATTTGCTTTGAAGTTCCTAAAAATGTTCTCTAATCTTTCCTGAAGTTGGATCGAGTGATGTGCGTTGTTCGAGTATCGGGGACACTCTCGAGTCCCTTTGAATCTCGAAGGAGGTTACGGCAAGATGATGGACGTTCGTGTCTGCTATTTAGCATCGCGGTAGAAAGTGTGATAGGCACGGGTAGCACGACGAAATGGAGGTGGTCGATGAGCTCGTGTATTTGGGTCCACTGGTGACCGCCGAAAATTATACCAGCAGAGAAATTCAAAGACGCATTATGGCACGGAATCGTGCCTACTTTGGACTCTGGAGGGTTTTATATATTCACTTTTACGGTTTCAAATAACTTTAGATGCAAAAGGGTATTTAAAAGTATTACTTTATATTTCTCACTTGCAATAACACTGGAAGAAGATTATTTGCCTCCGCTTACAGCTGCGGCTCAAGTTCGAATGAACTGGATTTATTCTGTCTCTGAAAAGAGAATCTTGTAGTACAGTATCTCTTTAATCATCGAATACACTCTTAATGTTATTTAATCGAAACTGGGTTACTACAATTCTCCCCTTTTTAGAAAATTAATACATAATTGATTTTATAACATATTTCAGACTTCAATTTATACATTCAAATATTTCAATAACTTCAAATTATTGCTACTCTTCGACATCGTTTACGTATTACGACTGTTTTGCGATTGTTTACTTTTCTGTATCATTTAATAGCTTTTGTTGGCTGAATCACCCCTGGATCTCGTCAGGATAGGACTTCGTATCTGCACATGACGCTTCTTCGCTAGATGAACATCTTCTGGCACCATAGGAACATCCGGGAAACCTAAGAAGTCTTCCTCGTCAGAAACACTTCTGTGTCTCTTCTTGGATGCCGGCATGCCCATGGATACGAATACTTTCGATTGTCGGCGAGGCGTGTGCGCCATCTTCAGCTGGTTCCTATGAGCAGTTAGCTTGTGACCACTCAATGATATCTGAAAGATATTTTTAGAAAACTTTTTAATAAATTTAGCTTCCAACCATCTAGGCAAATCTTTTTTATCAAATTTTTTATAAAACAGCTTATCCCCTGCCACTAGCTTATCAAAATCATCCGGAAGAGCTATTGTTTTACCCGATGTTTCATTATCAGTGTTTAACGGTAATAAATCATTTGTATCCTTATACAAATTATTTTTGTAATTATTCCGTGGATTAATCAAATCCAGCAGCATCTTTGGCTTGTACAAAAACACTCTTTCTGAAGGGAACTTCCCTTCCGTACCAAGACAACTATTTCTATAGTTGATTAAAAAAAGATTCAATCGGTCTTCTATATTTAAAGACCTTGTCTTCTCATCAAACAGGAATTTTTTTAAAACATCCTTGATGACTCTCACCATCCATTCCGCTTGACCATTGCTTGCTGGGTTGTATGGTGGACTTTTAAGAACTTTGATTCCTTGGCGCTCTAAGAATTTAATAAACTCTATAGATTGAAATGGAGGACCTCCATCTGTTACTACCACATCTGGTAGACCAAAACGAGCAAAAACAGGAATGAATTTTTGAATTACCGCTTTAGCATTTGTCCCATACCGCATCCATTCTACCTCAAGCCATTTAGAATGACTGTCCACTATTAGCAGAAAGGTTTTCTTATCAAAATAAAAGAAATCAGCGTGTAATCTACTAAACGGACGGTTTGTTGGTATCCATGTCTCAGTAGATTTCACCTTTGGCACTACTTCCATTTTAGCGCAAGTATCACATCCTTTAACAAACTCTTCTATTTCAGCATTAAGACCTGGCCAGTATATTGTCCTTCTAGCCAATTGCTTCATTTTAATCATTCCACTGTGATTAGCGTGCAGTAGCTTGAGCACAGCGAGTTTCATTTTTTCAGGTACAACCACCCTGTTCTCCATTAAAAGAATGCCATCAACTATCTGCAATTTTTCTTTCAGCGCGAAAAAATTCTTAAATTGCTTCGGTACATTTTTCGGCCAATGATTTGATACAAACCTCACTAGTTCTATCAAACACTTGTCTTTTTTAGTTTCTTCCAATATCAACGAAAAATCTAGTGGAAAATCATTTGAAAAGTTCAAACTATTTATATTTTCTTGATCTATTCCACTAGGAATTTTCTGATCGAGGGGAAAACGACTGCAAAAATCGGCATTTCCCATTCTTGAACCAGGTCGATACTCAATTTCAAAATTATAAATAGAGAGCTCCATTATGTATCTTTGTAATCGTGTTACAAAAACAGAATGTTTGCCCTCTTTCCCAAAAATTCCTAGCAGAGGCTTGTGGTCAGTAACCACTGTGAATTTTTGACCGAAAAGAAATTTATGAAACTTTTTAATTACACAAACAAGTGCCAACGCTTCTAAGAGCAATATCGGATACTTTTTCTGTGCTGTGTTCAACGAAAAAGAGGTGAAACATATTGGTTTTTCTATACCATCCACTGTTTGAGCCAATACGCCTCCTAAACCATAGGACGACGCATCAGTTACCACAACTAAAGGTTTGGTTGGATCATAAAAATCAAGTATGTTAGCTGATAACAAACTCTGTTTACTCTGTTGGAATGCTTCATCACATGCTTCTGTCACATGCATTTTTCTTCAAAAGATTGTATAGACACCTTAGTTTAGATGACATATTTGGAATGAATTTATTGTAATAATTAATAAGACCAAGATAAGCTTTCAACTCATTTTCATTCTGTGGTGTTTTAGCTTTTTCAATTGTTAAAAGTTTTTCTCGAGAAGGCAATAAACCATCTTTTGTGATCATATGTCCTAAATACTGTAGAGATTCAACGAAAAATTTACACTTTTTGAAATTAACACGAACATTTGCATTAGCAAGCCTTTCAAGTACTTGTACTAATTTGTCATAACATTCTTTTATTGTTTTACCTGCAACCAGGACGTCATCGAGATAAGAGCAGACACCTTCAAGTCCTTTCAGAACTTGGTCCATGACTTGCTGGAACATAGCCGCACTTGATGTCGCACCTTGCGGTAAACGATTAAATGTGTATAGACCTTTAACAGTGTTAATTACAACATATTTCTTTGAACGATCCGATAGCTCGAGCTGCGTATATGCTCCTGTTAGATCCAAAGAACAGAATACTTTGCATCCTGCTAACGATGCAAAAATATCCTGAGCGAGTGGAAGAGGATAAGTGTCAGGAATTAAAACTTTATTCAAAGAGACTTTGCAGTCAATTACCATGCGTATATCTCCGTCTTTTTTCAAAATTGCGATAACAGGCGAAGCCCATTCACTAGCCTTGATAGCTGTTATAACTCCTTGTTGCTCAAGCATGTCCAGATGATTCAAAAACTTCTCCTTTAGCTTGTATGGTACCTGGTATGCACGTTTAAAAATTGGTTGCTCTGACTTGAAAGTAAGATCAGCCTTGAACCCTGAAATAGGTTCGCAAAAATCCTTACTAAATACTTTAAAATATTTTTGTTTTATGTTAACTATTGCATTTTCACGAAATGTGTCAAAGCCCAAATGGTTAATAACTCCAGGGTTCAGGAAGTGTAACTTCCATTCTGGATAGAAGCTCTCCATCCAGTCTCTTCCCAAAAGAGGGGTAAAATCAGATTCGGTATTCAAAATTACAAGTTTTTCCAAACTACTACGTCCGTTAAGACTGACCTTTACCAGAAGCTGTCCAGCAACGGCAAGCTTAGAACCGTTAACTACCACCAATTTCTTGTTACATTTTGTCAAAACAACAGAATCAAAAAGTTTTCTATACAACGTCTTACTGATCACAGCAACTGCTGACCCTGTGTCAATTTCCATCATCAACCTACGACCTTGAATTATGACCTCTACTAAACATGGTTCGCTCACGTTGCTGTTACTTCCAATTTTCATGCAATTAATATCTGATTCGTCACTAGAGTTGTTTATGCTTATTCTGTTGAATTTGTCAAATGGTACTTCGTCAGTAGAGTCTACCTGTTTTACGAATTTCACCGAATTTTTGTTTAAAAACCAACAATTTTTCCTAATATGTCCTATGCGTTTGCAATAATTACAAACTGCATTGCTGTGTCCATTCCAGTCATGTTTACCTCGCTTGAACGCATTGTTCCTGTCCCCACTTCCAGATCGACTTCCATCACGATCCTGACTTCTACTTCTTGAACGGAATCTACTGCTTCGCTGCTCTGAACGTCTATAAACGCGGTGATTATTTCTTTGACCTAAACGGTGCCTAACCGACAAAATAGCTCCTGTGTCGTTCGGATCAACAATTTCTCTGGTTCTCTGGCTTGCAACTTCATCGCTAATGATTAACTTTTCTACTGCTTCAACCGTTATTTCGTCTTCCATCAATATTTTACGCTGAAGTTTTTTATCACGAAGACCAATAATGAGTCTATCTCTAACAGCTTCATCCTTGAACTCCTTGAAGTTGCAACTTTCTGCTAATAGTTTTATTGCGAGAACAAAATTTTCAGCGCTTTCGGTTGGTCCTTGAAACTTAGTGTAAAATTTGTATCTGTGCATAACCATAATAAAAATTGTATGGTTAATTTGCTTAACGACGTGTTCTGGGTATCATCCAAACCATTTGTGGAATAGTTCAATGATTTGGGTTATCATTCGTTTATGGTTATTTTTTATTAGGGAAGTGCAGGTTCAGTCTTATCAAAACGACACTTCAATTTTTGAATCATTTCATCAAAATCCAACTCATTTACATCTTTTTTTGGAAATAGCAATTTGATCTCGTCAAAGACATCATCACCACTAAGGGAAATAAACCACTGCTTTTTCTCTTCCGCTTTAACTTTGTTTAATTTACACATTATCTCAAATCGCTCTATATAATTGCAAAATGATTTACCAACATGAAAATGATCAATTGTTCCGATCATACCAGGAACTGACATTTTGTTTACAATCTATCTGCGAATGGAATGTGAAAAAGGCTATTACTCACGTTTTCTGTTGTTCACTATTCACTGAATCTCACCCTCAACCTACGAGAAGCGCTCTGCTCAAGGTTCAACTGTTTTGTTCACGCCAGACGTTCTCCGATGATCTACACACTCTCACTGCTTGTTTTGAACAATCCGCCGTCCGTTCACTCGCGCTGGAGATGACACTCCGTTCGGTGAAATTATTTGTTCCTCCTTTCCACTAATCGACGTAAAAAACCATGCACTTCTTTCTTGCTCTCCGTATAAACTTCACGTTTCCACTTTGCAATTAAGTTGTTTGCTGCTACTGATTTCTTGTTTACTGCTATTGATCCACAAGTGTTCTCTCGACTTGTCTCAACAACCGGACCGATTGTCTGACACTCTCGCTACTTGGTTACTCACTCTTACGATTCGGTAACTCACGAGATTCCGTAGCTCTCTTCTCTCGTTGATTTTTCTCTCGGAAAATTTGTTATACTCACGTCGAGAAACGTCTCTCGCCTTCTCTTGTACACTAGGAGACAAAAGAAAACGACTCTGTGACGGGGACTGTGAAAGAAAATTCAAAATGGAGATTAGTAATTGTGAAGAGGACAATGAACGGTGAATTTGGAATTTATTTCACAAAACCAATATGCGCACAAATATTTCACTACAAGAAAATCCTTATTTTCCTGAACTCGTTCGATGCTAACACCTTCACGGCTTTGAATATGCTCAACAGCTACTCTAGCAAAATTTGCTTACAAGTGCACTGTCTGCTACGACGTAACTTACCCTAGCTCACTCTGGAAACTTTCCGTCTGAGCCTGTTTTCGGTGGATTCGTTTCACTTTCTCGTCGCCACTTTTATATATTCACTTTTACGGTTTCAAATAACGTTAGATGCAAAAGGGTATTTAAAAGTATTACTTTATATTTCTCACTTGCAATAACACTGGAAGAAGATTATTTGCCTCCGCTTACAGCTGCGGCTCAAGTTCGAATGAACTGGATTTATTCTGTCTCTGAAAAGAGAATCTTTTAGTACAGTATCTCTTTAATCATCGAATACACTCTTAATGTTATTTAATCGAAACTGGGTTACTACAGAGGGGGCTCCGGTCGAATAAAATTCGCCGCCGCACGAAGTCGACTATCTACAAGACGCTTATTAGACCGGTGGTCTATGCTGGACTATGCTCGTAGAGGACCAACGCGCCTTTCGTGTTTTCGAACATAAGGTGTTGCCGAGGGTGTTACGTACCATCTACGATGGAGTGCAGATGGATGACGGAATGTGGATGAGGCGAATGAACCACGAATTGCACCAGCTGCTGGGAGAACCATCGATAGTTCACTTTGCAAAAATTGGGTGACTACGGTGGGCTGGGCACGTCGTAAGAATGTCGCACGACGACCCAGTGAAAATGCGAAAGCGACCCAACAGGAACAAGAAGAAGAGGCGTGCAGCGGGCAAGGTGGATCGACCAAGAAGAAGGCGACCTGCGAACCCCTCGCAGACTACCTACGAGGCTGGCGTAGTGTGGCCATGGAGTAGAGTTCAGACGAATATACTTTTTATCCGTATGAACATAAACTCGTCAGTAGGATGAAAATCATCAACGTTAGCCACTGAGGGTGATCAGGATATTTGAGCGAATGGCCTTCCATTAATTTGGCTAAAAACTGTTTTGTTAAATTATGGAATAATAAGATATTATGATAATATTTTATTTGTGTAAGCAACAAGAAAAGAATCGGAAGTTTGTGTTTGACACATAATAGCTGCCAAATTGTCGCAATAAGCTATTTTGTCCTTCATCTTACCCATTCTTCGCGAAGAGGCGATCAGAAAATCGTTTATTGTGACTCTGTCGAAGCTAAATTTGCATGTTTTATGTGTCAAACACAAACTTTACAATTTTTTCTTAATACTTACACATACACAATATCATCATAATATCTTATTATTCCATAATTTTTAGCAAAAATGAATGGAAGGCACCCTGCGAATGACTACAGAAAAAAACGTCGTAATGTATATGGGATTTCGGATACATAACAAAACATGCGCCATCGATCTGATTTAATTCATTATGTATATGTTTATTCAATAAAAGCTACCGTAGAAAATCAAATATGTTTGTTTACCACAAAAATATCTTAAAACTAATTAACCAGTGTTATATTTGTATTTTTATACAAAGGCAATTTCAAATAGAGTAAATGTTTTCATCAACAACTGCCACTAAACGGAAAACTTTATACAAGTAGCAAAAAAACCAACTTCAAAAATGTTTTTAATGATAAATTTAGTCGTTTGCACGGTTTCTATGTAGATGTATTTACAAGTTTAAAAATTTCAGCCGGACTCCATCCAACATCGCGGCCTATTTTTCATGTCAGCACTCTTGTCTCTTTTTACAAAAAAAAATCAGTTCTTACTTAAATTAATCCTCCTCCTCGTGTAATCGATCCTATAAATTTAAGAAATACATTTTTATATAGCTATATGATACTTCGAAGGGGGGAAAAACTTCAAAAAGATTGAATAAACTAGGCTAAAAACTACACCTATCAATCTAACGTTCAAGGTACTTTTTGATTTTTTTTTTGTCTGTTTTGAAAATTTGTTCATTGTTTATTGCTTGTTCAATTATTATAGGATGACTGAAAAGCTGCGAATCGATATTAGACGTATGCTAAAGGCCATGTAAAGAATTTTTATTGGAAACGTTCTTATATACAAAAAAGTCTAATGCAAGGCATTGCCGTCATTATTAGCTGCAAGTCAACTAACAGTCTTTTCTCTGTGGATGTAAGCTAATTGGTTTACACTTGTTTTCAATTAAATGCATTCGGTCATGTAAGCTATGTTTGTCTGTATGCGATCAAGTCTGGCGTTGTTCATTGGATTTCTAATTTTGCATATTTGTTTAATTCAATCAAAAATATCACGTTTTCTGTTTTTAATCACATTTACCGAGTGAGGTGTGTGTTTCTTCCAACGGAGGAGCTTCTTCCAGGCTCGATTTAGCTATAGTTTAAAGCGGATTTAATTAACTACTGCTGTTTGTGTTCACAGTTCGAAAATCGAACATGCGCTCACAGCGAAGGCATCTCAGGTTTGTTGTGGCAATAACGTATTTTCCATCATATTTATGTCAAACATAAACAATCGAGTTTACATGCATTTTTTCTTCTTCTCGCGCTGACGCTTTTCTCAAGCTTTGGTTTACCTTTACACCGTATAGGAGCAGAGTGCAATGTGGAATTTAATGGTATGAAACACACAGAAGATTGGGATTGACTTGCCATCAACACGTATAAATAGTAATCATCATCATCATCGTCATCATCAACAACATTCCGTTCGTCGAGGTCCGCTTTTCCCCTTGCGTTATTCTTTCGTCTTCATTTTACTATTTTTGCTTGCCCATATTGTTGTACACTTGTTTCGTGCGATCGCCCCTATAATAGGACTGTTATATACACGTTATTAGCATACACTTTCACGCACAGATGTTTTCGATTGATATTTGAATTGGCTGTCTTTACATCAGCTTAAACGGCTGGATCTTGCGTGCGTGGTGCTTTTCGTTAGTGTGTTGATCGCAGCAAACTTTTTTTTTTAACTAATTAGGTGCACACCTACTAGCAAGCATGAACGGCTAATTTCGGTGAAAGTAATAAATCTTGGGTTCGTTGTAATCTATATTGAACTACACTAAACGTTCGCTAAGTGAAAGACTTTCAACTGAAATGTCTTTTAACTGAAATTTCGACATTTATAAGTCAAAATTGTGCGATATCCAAATGTCAAGAACTTTTCCACAAATGGTTTGGATTATACCCAGAACACGTCGTTAAGCAAAATAACCATAACAATTTCAATAGGGCCGTAGCGTGGGTAGATCACATTTTCGTGGTACCGTGGGTAGATCACCTTTTCGTGTAAGATCTACCACCGAATCCTCGTCCTGACTGCTTCAAACTAGGGGAACCGGATTTTTCAGTAATCAAAGGAACGCATCTTAGTCCTTGTTACTTTCTATGCCTTGATGATAGTGACAATACTCGGCTTTGTCCACCGAGGATGAACTTGGATTTTCCACGTACTGCCACAGGACCAGCTCTCAATCAAGAGTGGACGTTATATTTGAATTCCCCCCCATGATTAATCCAAATGTTTAAAGTTTCACTGTATAGTTTTGGGCTTGATTGATTAAGTCTGTCGGAAGTTTGAAACATTTCAGCACAGACAAACAGACATAACTGTTAGAAGAAATTTTTTCAAAAATATCGTCAAGCGTATTTTGCATGCGCACTAGCACCATCTATCATCCACATTCCCAAGCAATGTTTTGCAACCGGAGCATCTCTCGTGCATGCAATTTTTTCACTAGTTGCTTTTCCCTCGTTCTGTCAACGCGTCAGCTGTGTTGAATAAAGAGATGTGACTATTCTTACTTATTCAAACTCCGACTAAATTGCTCAAGTCCTTATTCAGGGAAAAGCTGGGATAGACACAAGTGGCACTTTTAGGAAGTC